CTCACCTAAGTGTGGAGCACTGTTAATTGAGTCACATATGCACATTATATACACATTTTAATAATGTGAACTTATTCACAGTTTACAACATAGTTTGTTTGGTTTGTGTATTTTTAACCATTAAGCTATTGTCACATATCTGATTGCATGTTTGCTTATTGAATATGGTTGATTTTGTTTACCTTTTTCAAAGACAACAGGTATTGCACATTTATTTTGTGCACCTATTGGTATTTATTTGATTGTTTAATGGCACAGTACAACAATATTTATGCATTTGAATTTTTCTCTGCATATGTGTGCATGGACACATAGGGGTTTATTTACTAAATTTGGAGAGTGCGAAATTAGGTTCACTTCTGCATAGAAACCTCAACTTTAGCTTCTAATCTTCTGACTTCAGCTTTGTCAATAAAACCTGGAAGCGGATTGGTTTCTATGCAGAAATAAGCTTGATTTTGCACTCTCCAGCTTTAGTAAATAAACCCCATAGGCTTTTATTGAGTTGAGTTTAGGGGTTTTGGCAAAAAAAAAAAAACCCCAAAAGCTTGTAAACTCACGTTTAGGAGCAGCAGTATACATGAGGCCTAAAACTTACTGCAAGTCAGACTTTTAAGAAACAACTGCCAATGTATTTTTTTTTTTGAGAGAGAGAGAGAAAAAAAATGGAAAGGGCAAAAAAAAATGGAAAGGAGAAAAAGAAAAGGAAAATAAAATAGCGAGATCCATACCAGTATTTCCTTCAATGTCTCTGGTGAAGTGTACCCCTTGGCTTGATGACCGTTGCAAAGGTGCTGGTTTGCGTATATTTGTCCAGTCTATATGACTGACATCCGATCGTGACCTGTTGTGTCCTGGTCTAAATTTTGAAGTGTCTTCGGCAAGGCCCACTGTGTCGTTAAGTGACTGAGGTCGGTCACGTCTACGGTGACATGCACTGAATAAGTTATAAGCAGAAGAGTCTTTTTCCTGTCCTGCCAACAAAGGTACATCAGGAAATGCTCTCCTAGTTGATGAAAAATGCTCTTTGGCATGGATACCATTCTTTGCTTTGGCATCAAACAGACTGCTCTTACACCTCTCCCAAATAATGCTACGTTTTGAGGTGTTCGCATTTTGTCCATCGACTTCCTGCTGGATTTTACTGGATATGTCATTTCCTAACAGTTCAGGAGCTTCATGAATTCCAAAGACTTCAGATTGATGGTTACCATGCTCTAGTTTTTCAAAAGAGTTGAAGAAATCCTCTGTAACCTCTAGTGCAGGACTGATATCATCCACTTCCAGTGCTTCCATTGCTTGCCTTTAGCATCAATGATGCATTATCAGTCAGTTAGGAAGAATGCAAATCAGCTGATGAAAGTGAAGAGTCAACATGAACACTATGGGGGAAAAAAAAATTGACATATCACTTTAGTTCTTTTACAATTGCTGAAAAAAAACACGTTAACTTATTATGATAATATACAATGGAAATTGCCTAGATAGTCTGAAAAAGATTGTACTATTGCCATAAGGTGTAAATAGCAAAGAAAAGAAATAGAAATTAGTGTCCAGGGCAATATAATACAATACTGTCATTAAAATTTATTTTTCATAATTATGATTTCTTTTCATAAGGCTTCTACACACAAGCGACTAGATGTATCCCTGGGTACATATTAATGTTCAAACCTAAAGCTATAGATGAACAGCATGAATTTAAAAGGAATCTGTGATGGGAAAAATGACTGCAGCAGCTTAACCACTTCCGGACACTTTTACCCCCTTCCTGTCCAGGCCAATGTTCAGCTTTCAGCGCTATCACACTTTGAATGACAATTGTGTGGTCATGCAACACTGTACCCATTTGAATATTTTAGCTTTTTTTTTGAGACAGATAAAACTTTATTCACCACTGGGATTTTTTTATATACAGTCATGGCCGAAATTGTTGGCACCCTTGATATTTTTCCTGAAAATCAAGTATTTCACACAAAAAAGGTATTGCATTAACACATGTTTTGCTATACACATGTTTATTCCCTTTGTATGTATTGGAACAAATATAAAACAGAGGCAGAAAAGCAAATATGACATAATGTCACACAAAACCCCAAAAATGGGCTGGACAAAAGTATTGGGCACCCTTAACTTAATATTTGGTTGCACACCCTTTGGAAAACATAACTGAAATCAGTCGCTTCCTATAACCATCAATAAGCTTCTGACACCTCTCACCTGGAATTTTGGACCACTCTTCCTTTGCAAACAGCTCCAGGTCTCTCTTATTGGAAGACATAAACACCTTTTCCCAACAGCAATTTTAAGATCTCTCCACAGGTGTTCAATGGGATTTAGATCTGGGCTCATTGCTGGCCACTTCAGAACTCTCCAGCGCTTCTTTGCCATCCATTTCTGAGTGCTTTTTGACGTATGTTTGGGGTCATTGTCCTGCTGGAAGACCCAGGATCTTGGACGCAAACCCAGCTTTCTGACACTGGGCCCTACAGTGCGACCCAAAATCCTTTGGTAATCCTCAGATTTCATGATGCCTTGCACACAGTCAAGGCACCCAGTGCCAGAGGCAGCAAAACAACCCCAAAACATCATTGAACCTCCACCATATTTTACCGTAGGTACTGTGTTTTGTTCTTTGTAGGCCTCATTCCGTTTTCGGTAAACAGTAGAATGATGTGCTTTACCGAAAAGCTCTATCTTGGTCTCATCTGTCCACAAGACGTTTTCCCAGAAGGCTTTTGGCTTACTCAAGTACATTTTGGCAAACTGTAGTCTTGCTTTTTTATGTCTCTGTGTCAGCAGTGGGGTCCTCCTGGGTCTCCTGCCATAGCGTTTCATTTCATTTAAATGTCGACGGATAGTTCGCGCTGACACTGATGCTCCCTGAGCCTGCAGGACAGCTTGAATGTCTTTGGAACATGTTTGGGGCTGCTTATCCACCATCCGGACTATTCTGCGTTGCAATCTTTCATCAATGTTCCTCATCCGTCCACGACCAGGGAGATTAGCTACAGTGCCATGGGTTGCAAACTTCTTGATAATGTTGCGCACTGTGGACAAAGGCAAATCTAGTTCTCTGGAGATGGACTTGTAACCTTGAGATTGTTGATATTTTGCCACAATTTTGGTTCTCAGGTCCTCAGACAGTTCTCGTCTCCTCTTTCTGTTGTCCATGCTTAGTGTGGCACAGACAGACACACAATGCAAAGGTTAAGTGAACGTCTCTCCTTTTTATCTGCTTTCAGGTGTGATTTCTATATTGCCCACACCTGTTACTTGCCCCAGGTGAGTTTACAGGAGCATCACATGCTTGTAACATTCTTATTTATCCGCAGTTGTGAAAGGGTGCCAATACTTTTGTCCAGCCCATTTTTGGAGGTTTGTGTGACATTATGTCGAATTTGCTTTCTTTCCTCCCTTTTTTTGTTTTGTCCCAATACACACAAAGGGAATAAACATGTGTATAGCAAAACATGTGTTAATGCAATACGTTTCGTGAGAAATACATGATTTCCTGGAGAAATATCAAGGGTGCCAACAATTTCGGCCATGACTGTATATATATGAAAAAGACCAAACATTTTGAAAAAAAAAAGTGTTTTTCTTATAAAATTTTGCAAATAAAACAATCTTTCTTCATAAATCTTGGCCAAAATGTATTCAGCTATCTTTTTAATGAAAAAAAAAAATAGCCCAAATAAGTTTATAACCAAAAATTATAATTCTTTTAAATTTAATTTATTTTTACATTTTTATTTAATTTGTTTATTTATGTTTTTTTTTCCAACATATCGTCACCCTAGCAGTACAGTGTCACCATAGTGACATTGTACTACTTGTGGGGGGTGATGAAGATTTTTTTATTTTTTTTACACTGATTTCTTTTACACCTATAAAAGGTTGTAAAAGCAATCACTTCTCCTTCTCTCTGGATGCATTCTTGTAGCCATTGAAAAATACCGTGAGAACTGTGATTGGTCACAGCTTGTCACATAATACAAGGCTGTTGTGAATAGCCTTGTACCATGTGACCTCTGTGATCATTCACAGATTTCACTAGTAGTAAGCAATGATGTCAGGAAGTGACATCTTGCTTACTACTATTCATGTGATCACTGATTGGCCATCAGGGATCACAGGAATCGGGACCTCACACAGAGGTCCCGTACAGCAATCAGTGTTCCGCTGTGTCCGGATTGCTTGTCTCAATTAAGACCACTAAGTGTCACTTCTGTCTGCTGCTCTGTTCCTCTGCTTCCACCATGAGTCCCTTCTGACAAGTTTTCCTGACACCAAAAGAAAAATGGTGACAGAAGAGGCACCTCCAGCAGATTGGCAGCCTCAACTATGTTGGTGTGTGTGTGTGTGTGTGTGTGTGTGTGTGTGTGTGTGTGGTCTCTTCTCTTCAATCCTCACTCAGCTCTGCAGTGTGTAATCTCAGCTCTCCACCCTGTTTTCTGAACTCCCAGACAAACTTTGAACAGATGAAGAGAAAACTGCAGGTAAACTGGTACAAGTTATGTACAAGCATTTTTTTTCATCTCTGTGTATCATGTAAGGCCAGTCACTTCACTGGGTATAGGTAAGGGTTTACATCCACTTTATTAATAGAAAGCAGAACACTTTAACCACTAGCTTACAGGGCACTTATACCACCTTCCTGCCCAGGCCAATTTCTAGCTTTCAGCGCTGTTGAACTTTGAATGACAATTGCGCGGTCATTTGCAACACTGTACCCATATGAAATTTTTATCATTTTTTTGTGACAGATAGTGATTTATTTTGGTGGTATTCAATCACCTCTGGGTTTTTTTATTTTTTCTTAAACAAATCAAAAACCACTGAAAATGTTGAAAAATAAAATGTTTTTTTCTTAGTTTTTGTTATAACATTTATAAAAGTGATTTTTCTCCTTCACTGATGTGCGCTAATGAGGCTGCAGTGATGGGCACTGACAGGCATCACTGATGGGCACTGAAAGGCAGCACTCATATATGGCACTGATAGGCGGCACTGACTGGCACTGTTAGGTGGCACTGATAGGCAGCACAAATGCACACTGATAGGCGGCACTGACTGGCACTGATAGGCAGCACTGACTGGTACTGATGGGTGACACTAAAAGGCATCTCAGATGGGCACTGATATGTGGCACTGAAGGGCACTGGCAGGTGGCATGGATGAGCACTGAGAGCTGGCACTGATGGACACTGACAGGTAGCTCTGCTGGGGCTACACAGATCATCAGTGCCCTGATGATCTGTGTACATGTCCCCTCCGAGGAATGCCGATTACCGGCTCTCCTCTCCTCACGAGCTGTCAGTGCGACGGCTCATGAGGAGAGAAATGCCAATAACCGGCATTTCCCTGTTTACATGTGATCAGCTGTGATTGGACGCAGCTGATCACATGACCGAGCCGACATCTTCAGCTCTTTCCATGGATCTGTGATCCGCTGTGTCCAAGGGACAAAGCGCACCGCTGATCTCCGCGCATACACGGTTAGAATGGGAGGACGTCTTATGACGTCCTCCCAGAACGAGAGAACCACCTCGCGTCCGACATATTAATATATGGCGGGCAGGAGGCGGTTAAAGGCTAAAAAAAATGAAAAGGTAAACTAATTCCAAGTATCTGGGCCACCCCCTCCAGACCCCACTGACAGTATAGCAGGCTGGACATTGCAAAACACAGCCCTGGAGTGGGTATCCATCATAATGCTAGCAATGGCAATCACTTATTGGTCAGTGCAGCCATGTGATCATGCTGACCAATGAGAAGAGCAACTGAGGCTTCTTTTTCTGAAAGGTGTCCCAGAAGAAAGAAGCGCTTCTCTTTTGTCAGCACAACCATAGGATTGCGCTGACCAATGAGTACTTGTCATTGCAAGCATTGCAAGCATGGTGTATAGTTATGGATCACCAAGGGAGAATGTCACCAGCACACTGAGGATCACCAATATGGGTCCAAAAGTTTTAATGAACGATCACATAGTTACAGCAAGGCAACGTTTCAGAGTCTCGCAGGACCCCTTCATCAGGTGTTTGAATATGTGATCGTTCATTAAAACTTTTGGACCCATATTGGTGATCCTCAGTGTGCTGGTGACATTCTCCCTTGCTGTTTCGGTTTGGTTCCAGCAGACGGTCGATGCAGCACCCACTTATACACACAGCCATTTTTAACGCAGAAACGTGTGCGTTGGGATTGTACACTTGCATTCTGCACTGGTTTTCCATACAGCACCCCTGCTGGCTGCCCACCACGAGGGTATGTACCAGATGTACCTGTAGAAAACCGGGACATCACATTCACCGATTGATCCAATCATGAGGATTGTCCATAACCAAATGGCCTCTGAAGAGATTGCATCATCGAGTAATTTTGGATGCATTTACAATCAGGAAGAGATTGATGCAATCCTCTTCCCACCTGACACCAAAAAAGCATTTGGATCGGATACAGTTACTGACCGATTAAAGAAAATCAAATGCTTGAAGAAAAGACAGGTTGATCTGGAGCTGCATGGCCAGACTCTGTCTGAGTACTACAGAGCAAGAAAAAGTCCGAGGGGCTTCCAGATTAGAAATCAGCCCACCATTGAACATCATAAACGAGATTTCTGTGAAAAATGGTGTGAGGTTTCCACCCAGAACTCATTGAACTATATGTTACTAGTTACTGAAGAGGTCAAGGTTCAGCTATGCCTTTTCACATACCTGATGAAGGGGTCCTGCGAGACTCCGAAACGTTGCCTGCTGTAACTACGTGATCATTCATTAAAACTTTTGGACCCATATTGGTGATCCTCGGTGTGCTGGTGACATTCTCCCTTGCTGATTCTGTTTGGTTCCAGCCATGGAATTGTACACTTAGTCCCCATGCATACTGGATGTTTTTACAGCTGCTGTTTCTGGCTTTTGGTGTTTTTTCTACAGCCAGTAAACTCCCCAGCATGTTATCCTATGTGTCCATGCACACAGACTGTAATCAGCGTATTTTGGCAGGGGCATTTTTTAGCAGGAAAAAAAAATAGAATTAGTGGGTTTCCTGAGGAGTTTTTCAGCTGTAAAAACGTTTTGAACGCTGAAAATGCAGCAAAACATGGCAAACTGGCGTTTTTGGACTTTTTTTGAGTCAAAAAAAATATTTTTTGTAAAAAAAGCGCTAAAAAACACAAACGTGAAAAACGCTAATGCAAAAAAAGCATAAAAACCTCCCGTTTTTAACGTGACTTTGCACAGCTAACGTTACCAGCATTGTTAAAATGCCCCGTGTGCATAGAGCCTTGTAGTTATGAATCACTACACGACCAGAATGAGGCATCACAACCGCTATGTGCAGAGGAATCCAGAGGGGCAGCCAAGATATTTGAAGTTAGTTCACCTTTTTATTTTTTGTGAAAAGATGAACTTACCTTTTAACTTATGATACATTTTGCTCAAACTCATAATTGGGGTCGGTTGCCATTTTTTGCAAATTAAATGAACAAATTCATATAAATGCAAAAAAAAAAAATGCTACTATACATCCATTTGACTAAATGGATCTAATATTCTAAGCTTTTCATAAACCTTTTTTTTTTTCAATTCATAGTTAGTATGTGTATGTATGAATGCACTGTTTATAGAAATTGTCACGTACAATGCAAAGAAAAGAGGACAGCTCTGCTAATGAGTTGCCACAAAACAGAAAGAACTATGAGAAGGTCATGGGGCCAAATCTACACAGCTGTTTAGGAACAAAAGGGATATGCCACCACTGAACTCATGTATTCCAAAGGAAGGAATGAGTTCCCCAACTATTTGTATATTTCAAAATGAAGGACAGCAAAAAGGAGAATGTATTGTAAGTCACCAGAGCATACACATGCCAGCATTGCATGCAAAGGGACAATTTATTGGCTCTGCACAAAAAAGAAAAAATAAATGGTGCTCTTCCAGGTCCAAGTGAGAGCATGTGGAAGTTGTATTTACACAACTCAGTGAAAAAAAAAAACGCTTTATGCTATAACCTACCTACCGTCAGTACAATATCAGTGTTTGCGCACAGAATAAAAGCACCTTGCACTAGAATGAAGTAGACGGTCTAGCGTGAGGAGCTCATTGTTTAAGGTGCACATGCATGAAGAGTTTGTTTAACCAGCCATACCTCATAGGAAGGAAGCAGAAGTTACATAGCATTCCAGTCTCTAAAACACAGTTTTTGTTCTTGTTGTTTAGAGATATACATGTATGCACCAAATATGTACACAGACTGCACAAAACAAAGAATGACACAATACCAGTCTGAAAAAAACCTGTTGTAAGGATTTAGGTGAGAGTCACATCACTGCTCAGTTGTAGCTATTTTTATCCTCAGAAGCTAAGATGACCAAACTTGTTTGTAGGACACTAAAAATTTGAAGTATTACTTGGTGTTTATGTGTGAGCGTTGAATACAACATATTAGAAGTCTCTTTAAAGCTATTATAACTTTATGACTTAAAGAAAAGTTTATGGGTTTTTTACCCACTATCCTACCGGGCACTTTTACTCCCTTCCTGCCCAAGCCAATTTTCAGCTTTCAGCAGTGTTGCACTTTGAATGACAATTGTTCAGTCATGCAACACTGTACCCATATGACATTTTTAGCTTTTTGAGGCAAACAGAGCTTTCTTTTGATAGTATTTAATCACCACTGTTTTTTTTTTTCCTTACCACTGGGTTTTATTTTTCTAAGTAAACAAAAAAAGACCAAAAATTTTGAAAAAAAAAGTTTTTCTTAGTTTCTGTTCTAAAGTTTTGTAAATAAGTGATAAGCTTCACTGATGGGCACTGATGAGGCTGCACTGATGGACACTGATAGCCAGCACTGGTGGGCACTAACAGCAAGCACTACACTATTAGCCGGTCACTGATCATCAGGGCATTGATGATAAGTGCCCTGATGATAAGTGTAGATGTCACCTCTGAGGAATGCCGCTTACCGACTCTCCTCTCTTCACCAGTGTCAGTGTGAGGAGAGGGCTGCCAATAACCAGCATTTCCTATTTACACTGTGATCAGTTGTGATTGGACACAGCTGATCACATGGTAAAAGGCTGCTCTGATTGGACCTTTACCTCGATCAGCTGTGCCCAAAGGACACAGCAATCCCAAATCAGGCTTGCAGGGGGTGTGGTTCTGGGAAGACATCAATGGACGCCCTCCCAGAACTAGCCGACCGCTCTGTAGAGGTCTTTTGGCTATAGCACGGTCGGGTACTGGTTAAATTATACTTATCTAGGTGGATGCAACATCAGTCCAAAGCTGCATCTGTCCCCCACCGGTTCGAACACTGAGAACTGAGTGATCAAAGAGCACTGACCACTCAATTCTCAGTGCTCCGTGAGCAGAGAGCTGGTACTTGACAGTCACCACTCTCTGCTCTGTACCCCCACACTCACTGGAGCACTGGGATGTGGAGGAGGGAGTGACTGGCTCAGGCTCACAGAAGATCGCTGAGAGGCTGAGCCAGGTGCCAGTCCATGGATCTGAGTGGATATTGACTTTAAAGTAGGGATCTTTCCCCAGACTTCAGCCTGCTGTAAGCTGAAAACAGGTCACAGGGGTACAAAATGAACTGCACTCCTTTGATCCACAGGAGAAGTACAGCCAAACGAGCTTTGGCTGTACTTCTCTTTTAAAGTGATTCTAAATGCTCATTCTATACATGAAGGTAAAAAAACCTTCTGTGTGCAGATCCCCCAGCCCTCCCTTACCTGAGCCCCATTTCGATCCAGTGATGTGCACGCGAGCCTCGGGTCTCTCTCTCTTCATTGGCTGAAACAGCAGTGGGAGCCATTGGCTCCCGCTACTGTCAGTCACAGTCAGTGAGCCAATGAGGATACAGCAGGGGATGGGGCAGAGCTGTGGCTGTGTGTGAATACATACACAGAGCAGCGGCTCAGGAGCAAGCCTGCTTGGGGGCCCTCATTGCAAGATGCTTGCTGTTGAGGTATTTGGCAGGAGGGAGGGGCTAGGAGCGCCGGCAAAGGACTCAAGAAACCACTGCACAAGGCAGGTATGTATGACATGTTTGTTATTTTTTTTAAAAATTGCTTTGCAATCACTTTAAAGCAGGGGTGTCCAATCTTTTGACTTTGCTGGACCACATTGGAAGAAGAATTTGTTTTGGACCACACATAAAATACACTAACAATAATCATAGCCAATGAGCAGAAAAAGTTGGGAAGATCAAAAGTTAACAATCATTGATATAGATAATGTACCTGAGTAATAAAACTTCATTGTAATATTTTTATTATAAAAATAAAAGAGGACAACATAAAACTAGTGCGATATTTGACCCTGTTTTTGATAAATTAACACATGAATATCTGGTTACTGGATTTAACAGCAATTCTCAATGAATTCTCAAGGTGCTCATCAGATATTTTGGTTCCAATTTTGCCGTTTGTGTGCTTCATCTTTGAAAACAGACACTCACAAATATAGGTGCTGCTGAAAACTGATGACAGCAATAAAAGTGTGATTTTGAAGAGTCCAATAAAGTAAATTTTTCTTTGGCTGCATGTGTTCGCTAAATATAAATGCCTTTTTACAAGAAACCCCCCCCCCTCCCAAAAAATCAACATTTTAAGCAAGTTTACGATTTTGTTGGGCTGCAGGATAGACACCCCTGCTTTAAAGGGACACTGAAAACTTAGTTTCACTAAAATAAAATAAAAATAAAAAAACTTATTCAAGTATGCAATCTTAACTCAGAAAACTACCTCCTTCTGCTCTCGGCCTCTTCTAAATCTCCAAATTCCATTTTTAGTTGCTGCTGTGATCTGACTTCCTGTAAGAGGGCGGCTACATTTATTCTGCATTGTTCCTCTGTATGTAGCAAGAAGGAGCCACCCTGAGATGGACTATGGACTATTGGAACTGTAGTGTGTAAAGCAGTGACCACAACTAACCTGCACTGCTTGTTCCAAACAGAAGCAAGTGGGAAAAGGAGAGGTTTGGAAGCTCACAGAAAACATCACAAGGAGGCAGAAAAACACAGTAAAAAACTATTTCATGAAAAATTGATTACAGGGCCATTAGGTAGTGAAAATGTATGGATTATTTTTGGAGAATAAGGATACTGTTTAAAGGCTAATTTCACCTTTTTGGAACATGTAACATACTCCACTTGTATTTAGGGAGGAATATGTAACATGTTCATGTTCCTAATGCCAGTTCCCAAAATTCCCCCCTCCATGTGACAGCAGGCTGGGGATCTTCTCCCCACGCTTGCTGTCACTTTTTGAAAAGACTGCAGCAGTGCAGGGATCCCATATGGAGGTACAGGCAGAAAACTGCAGGGCATGTCTGCAGACGTCTGACCATTGCACCCCCTATTCACTACAATGTTTTTTGGGTTCCTGCAGGAAAAAAAAAATAATATGTGCATTTATTATTTTTCAGGAAAGGTGAACTTATCCTGTAGGTTCCCCCCTGCCCCCCGGTTATACTTACCTAGATGGATGAAGCATTGGTCCGATACTTCATCTGTCCCCCTGTGGCTCTAAGGGTGAGAATGACCGCTGATTGCTGAGTTCTCCTCTCTGATCTGAGCAGAGAGCGGGACTGTCAGTCACCGATGTCTGTTCAGCCCCCCCCCCAGCACTCACTGGAGCGCTGAGCTGTGGAACGGGAGGGAGCGGATGGCTCTGGCTCTCAGCACTTTGTTGAGAGACTGAGCCAGATGCTGCTCCTGACTGTGAAGTCGGCATCTGTCCCCAGCCTGTACCGGCTGAGTGACTTCAGTCTGCTGTCAGCTGAAAACAGGTCACAAGATTGCAGAACAAACTGTACTCCTGTGATCCACAGGAAAAGTACAACCAAAAGAGCTTTGACTGTGCTTCTCCTTTAATGTCACTAAATTATAGACTATACCACACCCAACCTATGTAATTCTCCCTCCCCACTGGTCTTCATTGCACTGCATACATTTAGCCAGAAATATCAATGTACTGTAAACATCTTTTTACCATCATTTTCCTATGCATTCTGGAATTCCCCAACTCCTCTGTGTAATGTTCAGCACCAACAATGGCGCTGAATTCTATAAAGCCGTAACATCACCCAACGACATCCACTGCTCAGAAGCTCCCTCCTGCCAGCCGCAGATCACGCAGAGGTGATGGAGCTTTGTGGTCATGTGACTGCATAGAAAAACAAGGAAAAAAGGTATTTAAGCACTTCCTGATCGCCCTGTAGCAAAACTACTGCTACAGGGTGGCAGGGCTGCGCAAAATAACGTATATACATGACTTTGCATTTCCAGGTAGGGGGCGCGCATGTCGTTGGCGGCTACAGATGTCAATCACCGGGTCCCGGACAGAGATTCCCCGCCGGCACCCAATGATCGCCAAGCAACACTGACAGGGGAGAGACCTGTGAGTACATAACACAGGTCCTCTCCTGCAAGCAGTATGTTTCCCTAGTAAAATACACACAGCACACAGTTAACCCTTTGATCACCTCAGATGTTAACCCCTTCATACCCAGCGTTATTAGTATAGTGTTAGGGCTTTTTATTAGCATTGATCACTGTATTAGTGTCACTGGGGATGTCAGTGGCAGTTAGTCAGTATGCCCATCGCAGTCCCGCAATAAGTCACTGATTGCCGCCATTACTATTATTAAAAAAAAATAAAAAATTCCAGTATATACAGTGAAGGAAATAAGTATTTGATCCCCTGCTGATTTTGAATGTTTGCCCACTCACAAAGAAATGATCAGTCTACAAATCAAATGGTAGGTGTATTGTAACACTGAGAGACAGAATAGCAACAAAAAAGTCAAAAGAAATGCATGTCTAACAAATGATGAACTGATTTGCATATTCATGAGGGAAATAAATATTTGATCCCCTATCATTCAGCAGGATTTCTGGCTACCAGGTGTCTTTCATACAGATAACAAGCTGAGATTAGTAGCAGTCTCTTAAAAGACACCTGTCCACAAGATCAATCAATCAGATTCCAAACTCTCCACCATGACAAAGACCAAAGAGCTGTCCAAGGATGTCAGGGACAAGAGTGTAGACCTACACAAGGCTGGACTGAGCTACAAAACTATCGCCAAGCAGCTTGGTGAGAAGGTGACAACAGTTGGTGCAATCATTCGCAAATGGAAGAAACACAAAACAACTGTTAATCAAATACCACAAAAGAAAACTTTATTTGTGGGTAAAAAAGGACATAAATTTCATTTATGTACAGCGTTGCATGACTGCGTAATTGTCAGTTAAAGTAACGCATCACAGTATCGCAAAAAATTGCCTGGTCAGGAAGGGGGGGGGGGGTAAATCTTCTGGAGGGCAAGTGGTTAAATGAAAGTGGTTGTAAACCTCAGACATGAAATAAGAACAAATCATATTCCTCTATAGTGTATACAAGTCTCAATCCAGAGCACTAAGTGAAATTTTTGTCTGCTGCTTCATTCCTCTTCCATCAGTATGAATCACTTCAGACAAGTTTTCCTGACACCAATAGAAAAATGGTAACAGGGGAGGGGCCTTCAGCAGGTTGACACCCCCAGTTCTGTTCATGTGAGCTGTGTGAAGGGGGGGTGTCTCTCTTTCCTCCAATTAGCTCTCAGAGCACCCCTCACTGCGGTCTGAGGAGTGTGACTTCAGCTCTCTGACCCCTTTTTTCTGAACTCTCAGACAAGATGTATAAATTCAGCACTTTGAATGGCTGTAGAGAAGACTGCAGATAACCAGGTTCAACTTATGTAGGAGGATTAGTTTATGCTAAAATGTATGCAGCGAAATGGGGAGCCAGCTTTTAAAAAGTAGGGCGTTATATACCCTAAACATCTATTTAAATTCTAAAAGAAAGAAAAAGCACCTATATGTGATTTTATCTGTCTAGGCAATCATTATTTTTGTGTGCAACAACATAGGGACAAGGTGCTTTGGGGGGGGGGGGGGGGGGGGGGGGAGTAACCTGCCCCAAAGCACCCCCCATGTTGAGGGCATGTGGCCTGGTATGGTTCAGGAGGGGGGGGCTCGCTCACCTTCCCCCCCCCTTTCCTGACCTGCCAGGCTGCATGCTCGGATTAGGGTCTGGTA